GATTTTAGACTTTAACACCAAGTCACTTGTGTAAGTTCAGATTCTGAGGAAAAATTTTAAGTAGCTCTGTGGAAAACTCCAAGTCGATTGTGAAGAGAATCCCAGGATCCGTGAAAAATACCAAGGGGATCGAATTTTGAGGGTAAAATCCCAAAGGAATTCTGACAATAATTTTATCGGAATTCCAAAGGCATCGCAAACCTAATTTCTAGAGGATTTTAAGGAAATTTCCAAGCAAAATTTCAAGACAACTCTGAGATGAATGCCAAAGAGGATTCAATTGAATTTTTAAATAAAGTTATAGAAGGAAGCTTCGAAGAAAATCTAAGGAGATAACATGATTTATAAGCGTTGATCCGCAGAGAATCTCTAGACTGTTATAAACACGTTTTTAGAGACTCCCAGAGAGAATCTCAAACTTATTTAAAAAGAATTTTGAAATAATCTCTATGATGGGAATTTATTTCAAAGGAAATGTATGAGAATATTCTGATAAAAACCTGAAAAGGGTTTTGAGTTGATTTTCAAGGTATTTAGGGTAAGGCTTGCGTCAGAACTTGCGATCAGAATATTTTAGCTCCAAATCCCAAAAAAAATAAAACAATTTCATTATCTATTGCTTTTTTTTTAAAGATTTTCTGCGTTTTGTCAACGCATATCCATTATTCTTCATGAGAAATCAGGTTGGTTCTGTGGTGGGAAACAAAGTGATTTCCCTATCACAAATTACAGATTTCAGTACCAAGCACTGAAATAATCGGATGGTACCTCTATTCTCTATTAGATTAGCAGCTACTTGGAGAAATATGCTTCGGAACGACTTGCCATGCCACGCCGTTCCATAGAATATTTTTTTCTTGTAGGAGATACTTTCAATGCAACAATGTCAGAGGTACTGCATCACCATCTATTGGTTGGGATGCTGAAGAAGATCCTTCAACTCGAGGCAGGAAATTCAAATTATGTTTAACAAGCCTTTTGAAAATGCATACGTTCGATATTGTTAAGTAGAACCTTGTTCAATCTTCTTAGCATTGACTAAACCAAGCGCTGACAGGTTTCCTTTGGTATAGCATACCACTCTTTTTGAATTGTGGTCCATAGTTGATCCTGATTTGAAAATTCTTTTCTTTTAAGCTCGTTCCATAAATTTTCGATGGGGTTGATGTCAAGAGATTGGCTAGGTCATGAAATAACCGACACTTGGTTTGCACGAAACCATGCCTTTACATACTAAGAAGTGTGTTTGGGATCGTTGTCTTGCTGAAAATGCCATATAAGAGGCATGCCCAAGTAACAATTTTGGTTTTATGAGGGTTCTGTAGACCATGATTTGGACTTGCAGAATGCTATAAAACCTCTATAAAGCTTGCAATGTTACTTGGGTGTTCTCTTCTGCATAAGGGAGCATAACCTCCTCCATGATTTCTCTTTATTCATATCTGGTCATGATAGAATTAATATGGAAATTAATACGGATCGAACTCTTTACCGGATGGTCTACGAACATTTCAGAGGAAAACAAATTTATTTTCGTTTCATCGCTCCTGACGATATTCCGTCATTTTCTTGCACCTCCCGGGCCGGCCCATGCACGATATTGTAAAGCATATATGTCACATATACAACAATGTCCATGAGATAAGGTGTTATGATAAATGGAAAGGTATGGTAACGCTGTAACTGCAATAGTGAGCGTTGTTCGTGCAAATCGGTATCTTGCAGAGGCACACCTTTTTTAATGACCTGCAGTTTATCAACACTTTTAACAAGTGGAGAACCTGTATACGAGCTTTTGCTCTGATTTAGAAATTCAATAACTGAATCCCCTTAATTTTCAATTGATGTTGAACTAAGCACATACTTATTGGAAACCAAACGTTTGATTTGAGCAAAGTTACAGTATTAGATAGGAGAGGAAACATCCTTTTCCTCAATAAACAGATACCATATTCTACAAGTACATAATGATGATGAATGATAATGTTTTATTAGGCTTGTCCTCCTGGCCTGTTGCGTTATCAATAAATTCAACTTTCACTCTCTTCTTTGCTTCAGAGACCTAATATAAGACTAATGACGGAACTACTGGAAAAAATAACGTATTTTTGGCAAGCAAGTTGTTCCACCTGGTCTTATAATCAGAAATCAAGCTCAGTTATTTTCCATTATCTTCCCGGACGTATTTCTGCAGAACGTCGTCATTTTTCACCGGTAACGTTTTGAAAATCTTGGCAATGTCTTGAACCCTTAATTACATGTGGAATTAAAAATATCAAACATATTGGAGTCATGCTAAAATTATGTTATTAATCTGGAGTTTTGATAATTAAAATTACAATGCAAGTTTGAATAATGATCAATACCGAAATTACCAGAAGTTTCACATGCGGTATTGGCAAATCGGCCAGTATTATCGGTTGTACCGGTACCAGTACTACCGGTAAAACAACTCTAGTTCATGCCACACAATATGCATAAATCATGCATCGATAGACCTAGATAACTAATAGTTGTGAAAGTGGTTCAAAGAACACTAAGTAAAAAGCATACAAATCAATTAACGCTATTACTGATTTGGTTCTGAGCCCAACACACTGTGTTAATTAGATTAACACGTCATGCCACAGCTTAGATATACGGTCGGGTAGGATGGTCTAAAACGCACCCCTAGGGTAAAATGGCCTCACGCTGTTATTCACAGCATTCCAAACATCACTTCGTGAATTGCGAGTTCAGTACTTGAACTAGTATTCTGGCACAAAAAATCCCAGAACTAATAATGGGGTTTATTATGGACTGTTCCCCCTACGCAGAAATGAAATTCAGGGAGCAAGATCATCTTCAATTTCAACCATCGACAATAAACAGAGTCAATAAGTATACAAATTGGAATAACCGTTATTTTTTCGGGAACAGGTCCAGTCCAGCTTTTCATTGCTGCACATGCAATGCAACATATAGTGTTTAGATGAATTTAAAAATAAAACCGACTGGCATGATCAAAATCTACCTGATCCTAAAATATAGAATAGCTTATTTTTGTTTCTTAGATAACTGAAAAATAGGAAACGGATAAAATCGTCCAAAGGTCAACTCGCACCACCATCGGTCATCAGCCTCAATGTGCCAAATTTTTCCCGCTGCACCAAAGCGTGCTCAAAACGAACAACATAACATCACAAATGATAATAATTGCATCCCGCCGAATGAATCCAATATCAATCAATGTCCCGGGTGCACTTATGTACCTACATCGCGATGCATGAAAGGCGAAAGAATCCGTTAAGAACTGGTCCCGGTAAACAGGTTTCGAGTTCTTTCAGTTTTTCGGACAATTCCTGTTTGCATTTTGATTGCCCTACTGATTCCGAGTTACTTTCATATGCGTGAGGTCGACGCTGCCAGGAAAGGATAAAAGGGCAAAGCCTTTGCCAAAAACTCGACTTTCACCGTTCAGCTTATTTGCGAAGTGTCCACGGCGCCGTGCGGAAGTGTTTCGGAGGAATTGGTGCTCTTTCACAGACAAAAAAAAATGGGATCCAAAAAAGTTGATCTTTTGGTATTTCAAGTGATTCTGTTAGTGATCAGTGACATCGTAGGGGCCAGATTGATAGCAATCAGTGACAGTGACGCATCCCAGATTGAATTTTTACGATTGAAAATTCTGCTGAAAAGCAACATCGACAAAGCTTTCCAAGGCGACGAGGTCAAGTTCAAGTTGACCAACTTTGCTACCCTTACTTCACCGCATGCATCGGTGCAAGGATATGGTTCGCCACAAGACGGGAAATTTCTTGATTTGAATCCAGGACAGCGAGTGGAGTCGGAATCCAGTTCAGCAAGTACAGATACTTCGGTAACCGCGGCCACCGCCTCTTCCATATCAACTGATGATGCAACAACTTCATCATCCTTTGTCCCTTTGGCTGCCTTCGCAACAACATCAACACCGCCCATAAGTCCTATAGTTTCCATTATCCCACATGTTTTCCCTCTAAAATCTGGAAATTCAGCAGCCATAGCAGAACCAATAATTACCGACCAGCAGTCCGACAATATTCCGGATGAAGTTAGTGTACCAAGTCAGATACATCCTCCATACGGTTTGAATCCTTCTTCGATACATGTTCCACTATCTCCTACAGCGAGTACCTCACAGGATAGCAATGTTTTCGGAAGCCTCCAACAAATTGAATCACCGAACAGCAGCCGTAACACTGCTACCTACCAGAGGTCTAGATCCCTTATTCCCGGAAAAGTCAGCAATAATCAATTTAAAGAACTTATCAACTCCATTGGGCCCAATCAAGGCAACAAACCTCAAGCGGACCGACAGTCGGATACCTTCTTTCAACAGCTTGGGTCACAATTCGGCAACGCCTTTGGAACCAACAACGCAAATCAAAGTTCCGGATCTAACCCACTGAGTCCGATCACCTCACAATTCCAGAACGTAGGATCACAGATAACCGGAGGATTCTCAAACGTCACCAATGCCCTCGCAGGATCGAGCAACAGTGCTAATCAAACATCTGGATCGAACCCTGTTGGCAGTATCACCTCGCAAATCCAATCCGTCGGGACTCAGATCGCTGGAGGATTCACCAACGTCACGGACACTATCGCCGGATCTAGCAATAGTGGCAATCAGTCGCAGTCCGGTACATCTCCTATTGGCAGCATCGCTTCCCAGTTTCAAAACGTGGGTTCACAGTTCAACGGAGGAGTCAATAATGCCACCAGCGCAATAACAGGATCAAACACCACTACCGGAATTCAAAGTCAACTACAACAGCTGATTAACACTCTTGGGTCCAATCAGGGCAACAAACCTCAAGCGGACCCACAGTCGGATACTTTCTTTCAACAGCTTGGGTCACAATTCGGCAACGCCTTCGGAAGCAACAACGCAAATCAAAGTTCCGGATCCAACCCCATCACCTCACAATTCCAGAACGTAGGATCACAGATAAACGAAGGATTCTCAAACGTCACCAATGCCCTCGCAGGATCGAGCAACAGCGCTAATCAAACATCTGGATCGAACCCAGTTGGCAGTATCACCTCGCAAATCCAATCCGTCGGGACTCAGATCGCTGGAGGATTCACCAACGTCACGGACACTATCGCCGGATCTAGCAATAGTGGCAATCAGTCGCAGTCCGGTACATCTCCTCTTGGCAGCATCGCTTCCCAGTTTCAAAACGTGGGTTCACAGTTCAACGGAGGAGTCAATAATGCCACCAGCGCCATAACAGGATCAAACACCACTTCCGGAATTCAAAGTCAACTACAACAGCTGATTGACACTCTTGGGTCCAATCCGGGCAACAAACCTCAAGCGGACCCACAGTCGGATACTTTCTTTCAACAGCTTGGGTCACAATTCGGCAACGCCTTCGGAAGCAACAACGCAAATCAAAGTTCCGGATCTAACCCACTGAGTCCGATCACTTCACAATTTCAGAACGTAGGTTCACAGATAACCGGAGGATTCTCAAACGTCACCAATGCCCTCTCAGGATCGAGCAACAGTGCTAATCAAACATCTGGATCGAACCCAGTTGGCAGTATCACCTCGCAAATCCAATCCGTCGGGACTCAGATCGCTGGAGGATTTACCAACGTCACGGACACTATCGCCGGATCTAGCAATAGTGGCAATCAGTCGCAGTCCGGTACATCTCCTATTGGCAGCATCGCTTCCCAGTTTCAAAACGTGGGTTCACAGTTCAACGGAGGAGTCAATAATGCCACCAGCGCAATAACAGGATCAAACACCACTACCGGAATTCAAAGTCAACTACAACAGCTGATTAACACTCTTGGGTCCAATCAGGGCAACAAACCTCAAGCGAACCCACAGTCGGATACTTTCTTTCAACAGCTTGGGTCACAATTCGGCAACGCCTTCGGAAGCAACAACGCAAATCAAAGTTCCGGATCCAACCCCATCACCTCACAATTCCAGAACGTAGGATCACAGATAAACGAAGGATTCTCAAACGTCACCAATGCCCTCGCAGGATCGAGCAACAGCGCTAATCAAACATCTGGATCGAACCCAGTTGGCAGTATCACCTCGCAAATCCAATCCGTCGGGACTCAGATCGCTGGAGGATTCACCAACGTCACGGACACTATTGCCGGATCTAGCAATAGTGGCAATCAGTCGCAGTCCGGTACATCTCCTTTTGGCAGCTTCACTTCCCAGTTTCAAAACGTGGGTTCACAGTTGAACGGAGGAGTCAATAATGCCACCAGCGCCATAACAGGATCAAACACCACTACCGGAATTCAAAGTCAACTACAACAGCTGATTGACACTCTTGGGTCCAACCCGGGCAACAAACCTCAAGCGGACCCACAGTCGGATACCTTCTTTCAACAGCTTGGGTCACAATTCGGCAACGCCTTCGGAAGCAACAACGCAAATCAAAGTTCTGGATCCAACCCCATCACCTCACAATTCCAGAACGTAGGATCACAGATAAACGAAGGATTCTCAAACGTCACCAATGCCCTCGCAGGATCGAGCAACAGTGCTAATCAAACATCTGGATCGAACCCTGTTGGCAGTATCACCTCGCAAATCCAATCCGTCGGGACTCAGATCTCTGGAGGATTCACCAACGTCACGGACACTATCGCCGGATCTAGCAATAGTGGCAATCAATCGCAGTCCGGTACATCTCCTCTTGGCAGCATCGCTTCGCAGTTTCAAAACGTGGGTTCACAGTTCAACGGAGGAGTCAATAATGCCACCAGCGCAATAACAGGATCAAACACCACTTCCGGAATTCAAAGTCAACTACAACAGTTGATTGACACTCTTGGGTCCAATCCGGGCAACAAACCTCAAGCGGACCCACAGTCGGATACTTTCTTTCAACAGCTTGGGTCACAATTCGGCAACGCCTTTGGAAGCAACAACGCAAATCAAAGTTCCGGATCTAACCCACTGAGTCCCATCACCTCACAATTCCAGAACGTAGGATCACAGATAACCGGAGGATTCTCAAACGTCACCAATGCCCTCGCAGGATCGAGCAACAGTGCTAATCAAACATCTGGATCGAACCCAGTTGGCAGTATCACCTCGCAAATCCAAACCATCGGATCCCAGATCGCTGGAGGATTCACCAATGCTACGAGCGCTATCACCGGATCAAGCAATAGTGCCAATCAGTCACAGTCTGGATCACCTCTCGACAGTATCAATTCTCAGCTTCAAAACGCGGGATCGCTATTCTCCACAGGATTTGCCAATACTACCGATGCCATAACAGGAACAAACACCAATCCCGGAGTTCAAGGTCAGCTTCAACAACTGATCAACAGCCTTGGATCCAACCAAAGCAGTAACAGTACTAACAATACATCCGGAACTGATCCTTTGGGTGGTATATCCTCACAGTTTCAAAACATAGGATCACAAATTTCCGGTGGATTCAACAACGTCTCTAGCGCCTTCACAGGTTCGAACAACCAAGCTAACCAAACATCCGGATCATCTACACTGGGATCGATTGCATCACAATTCCAAAATATAGGATCGCAATTCACCGGAGGCATCTCCAACTTCACCGGTGCCATAACGGGTTCAAACAACAACAATCCTCCTCCGGCCAACACTTCACAAGATACTGGCGTTTTTGGGTCATTCAATCCCTTCGGAAGCAACAGTGCTAACCAAACCTCCGGATCCAACCCACTTAGCCCCATAACTTCACAAATCCAGAACATTGGATCACAGATATCGAACGGAACTGGTGGCTTGATTCCAAATTCCCCCTTCAATCAACTCAGTCCTTCTGCAGTATCCCAAGCATCCAACCAGGTAGTCGATGCCCTGAAGCCATCTTCTGTGCAAGGGCAACTCGAGGGAATCGGTTCTCAGTTACAAGCAAACATTCCACCTGTATACAAAGACGACGAACTGCCTAATCAATCCTCAGTAAGCAGTTCACAATTGCAGGGAATCAAACCATCCATCAGTAATGACGTAGGCGTGTTTAGCACCCCAGGTGTACTTAACTGGAACACGCTCAATGAAGTCCCCTTCATCACAAACTTGTTTGGAACTAACAACAACAACAACAACAACAACAACAACAACAACAACAATCTCTTCCCAACACTTCTACCGACATTGCCTCTACTATGCCCAGTCTGTAGACCCGTTTGCGGAAAAACCAATCCCAGAACGCTTCGGGATCTGAGGGTAGTTGGAGGATCGGCACTGACTCCCACCAACAAGTATCCATGGACCGCCCGCTTTTCGTACTTTGGCGCCGATGCCGGCCAAGGGTCGTTGATCAATGACCGAACCGTAGTCACCACGGCTACCATAGTGCAAAGCATTCCAGTCTTCTCGCAGGTAAAAGTACTGTTCAACGTTTACGACCTCACGTCCACCACTGAACAGCGCCTCGTAAAGACAGTATCCAATGTTGTCGCTCATCCACTCTTCAATCCGCAAAACATCTACAACTTCAACATTGGAGTAGTCACGCTCGCTACACCGGTCGCTTTCACCAGCACGTTCATGCCGATCTGTCTACCAAAGCTGTTCGATTCTTACGCAGGAACTAACGCGGTCACCGTCGGTTGGGGCGCTGATTCCTTAACAGGTCAAACTTCATCAGTTCCTCTAGAGGTAACAATCCCCCTCTACACCGATCGTGAATGCATGCTGTCCAACTCCAAACTTTCCTACAAAAATCTTTGCGGTGGGGTGATCAAACCAGCAGTTGCCACTGCATTAAAGGCAACTTGCAAGGTATGTGCTTTAATTTCCACTTGAGCTTTCCTGGTTTACCTCTAATCTTAACTATATATTTTTTTTCTCAGGGCGATGATGGAGCAGGACTGATGTATCCATCGCAACTCGACCCATCAGTACTTACGTTGGCAGGCGTCAACATCGATGTACCAAATCAGGGTTGTGGGGAAACGAATCAACTGTCCGTGTTCAGCAAAACACAGAGCTACATCGATTTCATCATCCTCTACGGGTTTGGCTGCGGGTGCTAAATATACGGCAGTTCTTTTCTCATTTAATCAATAAACGACATAATACTTCAGATTACATTTATTAGTATGTACATTTATTCTCTTTAAAAATCTCCTGACAACAAAACGAACTTTAATTAAGTTCCAAAAAATAAAGGGAAGTTCCGATAAATTATGGGAAGTTTCTTGAACATACTGCGGGAACATGAAGAAAGTTTCCGGAGCTTCTGGAACAGTTTAGAGTTCTTCTACAAAGCTTCAAAAACCTAACGGCAGTTCCATTAGCTTCAGGAAAACTGCAGCAAATTTAAAAAAAATCTGAGCACTTCAGGGATATTCGCAGAACTTTCATGAAGTCAAAAAACTTCAAAGGTATCCACAAAACTTAAGGAAAATTGTAAAAACTTGAATGAAGATTAAAGAAACCCAAGAATGCTAGATGAAAATTTAAAGGGCAGCTCAAATGACTTCAGTAATATTCCGACAATTTTTGGAAAGTCCAGACCTTTTGGAAGTTTAATAACCTGTAAGGGCAAGTTTCAAAAAAATCAGGTCAGTTCCAAGAATTTCAGGCAAATTTCGATAACCTTTAAATACTTCCGAGTTTGAGGGAAGTCTAGTTCAAAGATGTTTCGGTCATTTCCATTAATTTCAGAGCTTCAGATAAGCACTTCAGGAGAATTGCGAGAACTTCAGGAAAGTTCCGAGCACAAAAGCGAAGATCAAAGAACCAGAGGGCAGTTCAGTTAACATCAATGGAAATACATGACTTTCAAAGAACTTCTGAATAAAGGCGGGATTACAGTTCGGAAACAAAGTCACGGGATTTGATTTAGGTCACGGGAAAGGAAATTTATGAACTTTACGGTTAGCTTAAGTCAAGTCTTCTTTTAAAAATGTTTCTTGCCGTCCGCCCTGAGGAAGCCCCTATTCCACTCATCGCAGTCGAGCCCCTCCTGCCAGCAACCAGCAGTCGTCCCGGCCCTGCGTTTGAGATGGGAGAAGGGATCTTCCACATTCCTGTTATTGGCAACGGCCCTACTCGAACATCCTTCCTCCGTCAAGTGACATCTACCAGCTCCCAAATGCAACTACACGCTGAACCTTCCATTGTTCCCGAACAGCGGAGGTCGGACATAACGATTTACTATCAGAACGTTGGCGGTATGAACGGCCTCGTGGAAGATTATCATCTGGCCGTCATGGATCACTGCTACGACATTTTAGTTTTGACCGAAACATGACTCAATTATCGAACCATTTCAAACTATGTCTTTGGTGCTGGCTACGAAATATTTCGCTGCGATCTAAACACGAATAATAGTAGGAAAACTACTGGGGGAGGCGTCCTTATCGCAGTTAATTCCAAGCTGAAAGCAGAAGTTATCGAGGACGATTCCTGGAACAGGGTTGAACAAATGTGGGTGGCTATTCAACTTGGTGATCGTCAATTGTTTCTCTGTGCAGTGTACATTCCTCCAGATCGAACCCGTGATTTGGAGCTTATTGACGCACATTGTCGATCTGTCTTGACCGCTTCAGACAAAGCAGGCCCTTCCGACGAAGTTATTGTTCTTGGCGATTTTAACCTACCGGACATTGCATGGACTCCAACCCATAGTGGTTTCTTTTGTTCTGATCACGAGCGTTCATCTTTCCACGTAGGAACCATCCAGCTCCTGGACAGTTATAGTACCGCAATTCTGTCACAAATCAATGGCCTGTTGAATGAAAACAACCGCACCCTGGATCTCTGCTTTGTGAGTGCTCGTGATACAGCTCCTTTCCTCTCCACGGCACCCGAACCTTTAGTCAAGGTAGTGCATCATCACCCTGCTTTAGTTATCGTGATCGAAAATAATATTGTCCATGATTTCACCAGCACTCCAAACGCTGTGTCATATGACTTCCGTAGAGCTGACCTTTGCAGTATCGTCCATGTGCTGTCTAACCTAGATTGGGCGCATATTCTAGATCCTGTAGACGTCAACAATGCTGCACAAACCTTTTCTCACGTCTTGGCATATGTCATTGACAGACACGTTTCCAAAAAGATCATCCATATCGACTCTCGCGTCCCGTGGATGACGAAAGATCTTCGCTCGTTGAAAAGAACTAAGAAGGCTGCTCTCAGAAGATTTACTAAACTCCGCACACTGCCACTGAAATGCTACTATGTCAGACTCAACCACGAGTATAAGCGGTTAAGTCGTCTCTGTTTTCAACGCTATCAAAGGAGGATTCAACGGCGGCTAAAATCACACCCGAAATCCTTCTGGAACTTCGTAAATGAGCAACGCAGGGAAGTCGGCTTACCCTCTTCCATGATTTTTAATGGTGAAACTGCTGGAAATCAACAAGACATTTGCAACCTGTTCTCAGCCAAATTTGCTAGTGTGCTTGAAGCTGAGCAACTCTCCGCTAATATCATTACTTCCGCGGCCAGTAATGTTCCTTTGATCAACCAAACGCTCAGCATGGTCGAAGCCACTACAGATACGATTTCTAGAACAGCATCTAAACTTAAGACTTCAACTAAGGCTGGACCCGATGGTGTTCCGTCGATTTATTCTTAAAAAGAACATCACTTGTCTTTTAGATCCACTGCGCCGCATATTCCAGCTCTCTCTTTCCAGCGGCATCTTTCCGTCTTGCTGAAAGACTGCGGATATGTTTCCTGTTCATAAAAAGGGAAGCAAACACGACGTAAACAACTACCGGGGAATCACGTCGCTGAGTGCTGTATCAAAACTTTTTGAATTGGTTGTCATAGAGTCCCTAAATGCGCATTGCAAGCAATATCTAAGTACAGATCAACACGGATTCATAACTGGGCATTCCACAACTACGAACCTGCTGTGCCTAACGTCTTACATCACAGACAGTTTGATTGCTCGGACCAAAACGGACGTTATCTACACAGATCTTACGGCAGCCTTCGATAAGCTGAACCACGAAATTGCGATCGCTAAGCTTGATAGGCTAGGGATCGGTGGAAATCTTTTGAGATGGTTTCGTTCATACCTCACGGAGCGCCAATTGACAGTAACTTTGGGTACTTGTCGCTCAGTAAGCTTCTGCGCAAAGTCCGGTATACCTCAGGGCAGCCATCTGGGACCATTGGTATTTCTCCTCTGCTTCGACGACGTTCACCATGTTATCACAGAGCCACGATTATCGTTTGCAGACGATCTGAAAGTTTTCTGCGCATCCGCTCACTCGCCGACTGCCGTTCTCTCCGAAATCAGATTGACATCTTTGCTGACTGGTGTAGTCTAAACCGACTGGTGGTCAACCCAGCTAAGTGTACAGTTATTACTTTCTCACGCAAGAAACAACCGATTATTTTCAACTACAAACTACTAGGCACGACTATCGAACGGGTGCACTGCGTGAAAGACTTAGGCGTTTTTCTAGACTCAAAGCTGACATACTCACACCATATATCGTATGTCGTCGACAAAGCGTCCAGAACGCTTGGCTTTGTCTTCAAGATTACTAAGAACTTCACGGACATTTACTGCTTGAAATCGCTCTATTGCTCTCTCGTACGATCTACGTTGGAATACTGCTCTGCTGTCTGGAGCCCGAACTACAATAATGGGGCCGAGCGAATTGAATCTGTTCAACGACGTTTTCTTCGCTTCGCGCTCCGTAAGCTGCCTTGGAGATACCCACTTCGTCTTCCAAGCTACGAGAATCGCTGCCAATTGATCAATATCGAGCCCTTACGTATCCGAAGAGATGTTTTCAGAGCCTTAACCGTCGCCGATACTCTTCAAGGAAGAATCGACTGCGAAGCAATTCTGCAACAAGTGAACATTAATGTTCAACCTCGATCACTACGCAACAGTCGTATGCTGAGACTTCCACTTCTTCGAACTAATTATAGCATAGGGAGCGCTATTTACGGCTTGCAGCTAGTGTTCAACCGAGTAGCGTCGATGTTCGATTTCCACTTGACACGGAATATGCTTCGCCGAAGATTCTCTGCCTTTCTTGCTGACCGAAGGCGCTTGATGCTTAACAGCTAAAGGGTGATACGGTCAAAATTTGGTCAAGGGAAAACGCGTGTAAATCGGTGAAATCGTTTATTTAAAAAATCAAATTAAATTTCTTTTTCAAGTTCAATTAGTATAAAATTCAGAAAAAATATTCAGTTAGGCTTCCGCTATTCCAAATCCGAATTGCCGGGCCTTACGCTTGACCCCTGCCATCAGATTTTGTACAGCCACCTTGTCCACCTTCTTCGCCGCAGAAAGCCAGTTTGCCTTGAACTGCTGCTCGCCCTTAGCAGTTTTTTTGGTCTTCTTTAGGTTCCGCTTGACAATAGCCCAGTATTTCTCAATTGGGCGGAGCTCTGGCGTGTTGGGAGGGTTCTTGTCCTTGGGAACCACCTGCACGTTGTTGGCGGCGTACCACTCCATGGCCTTTTTACCGTAATGGCAAGATGCCAAATCCGGCCAAAACAGTACGGAACAACCGTGTTTCTTCAGGAAAGGCAGCAGACGTTTATTCAAACACTCTTACACGTAAATTTCTTGGTTGACAGTCCCGGAAGCTATGAAAATGCTGCTTTTCAAGCCACAGGTACAGATGGCTTGATATCTCTTTGCGAACTTTGACAGTTTCATGTGCTTGAAAACATCTGCTACCTTTCCCCTTCCTTTTGCCGTATAAAACTCCTGTCCCGGAAGCTGCTTGTAGTCGGCTTTGACGTAGGTTTCGTCGTCCATTACCACGCAGTCAAACTTCGTCAGCATCGTCGTGTACAGCCTCCGGGATCGCGCTTTGGCCGTCGTATTTTGTTTATCATCGCGATTTGGAGTCACTACCTTCTTGTAAGTCGATAGTCCGGCTCGTTTTTTGGCTCGATGCACGGTTGTAGACGATACACCCAGCTTATTTGCGGCATCTCGGAGAGAGAGGTTAGGGTTTCGCTTGAAACTACCGGCAACTCTCTTTTTCGTCTCAGCGGCTTCCGGTTTTCGATTTCCCCCCGATCCAGACTTCCTGGCTGT